GAGGGTGTGCGGTATTGGTCCTCGTTAAACTGTGCTACCGTAAAGTGCTCGACTTCGCGCGCAGGTCGTCGGGCTACCGAAGCGGGGGTGCCATCCCCTCCGCAGAGGATCAAAATTGTGATGGCATGTCTTCGAATCATCCTCCGGGATGTTTCCCAGACTGTCGCCAACAGCCCATTGTGCAGCTCTAGTGCGACGCAAATTAACAACAACAACTTTACGGTAGAACAGTTTAACGAGGACCAATACCGCACACCCTCGGTCCCTACGCAGGCTGATCCATGTGGTCACCCACCCGCACACTGATCGTAGCCAGTGATGCTTGACTTCCGTGATCTGCTGGGAACCGTGTCTTAACGATCAGTCCACTGCGGGACTCTAAGTTTTATAAAAAAAAATTAAAAATGTTTTTTTGAATATTTCTTTTTATGCATGGGTATTTTCAAAAATATGAAGCTTATTCTTTTGTCAAAAGAAAACCAATTTTGAACGAACAGCGGTATAAGAAATTGTAAAAAAAAATCTAAAATGTTCACCACATTACACCAAATAAGAAAAAAAAACGACATTAATAAAGTAAATTAATGTAATAAACGCCATAAATATAAAAGCACAGTCAAAATTAACAAAATATGGTAAAATTATTTTTACTGTTTTATTTATTAATAAATAAAATAGAGCCAAGCTATTTGGCTCTATAAGAGCACCGAAAAGTATGATAATTTTTACCTTATCATTCTGGTAATTACATTTAATAAATTTATAAATAAAGTATGGATTTAATATCATTCTGTTTGATAGTAAATTTAGAAAAATTGAATGAATTTACCAAAAGATTTGGTAATTTTAACAGTTTAAGTATAATTTAAGATATGGCAAAACTTTGTTTTTTATCTGAATTTTTTTTCTAATTCTCTATAAGCTAACATCTACCAACCAACTACTATATTATGCAATATAACATTGCGTATTTAAATATATATGGGCCATTCTAAAAATACATGTAACTTTTGGGGGGCTCCCTCTCCGATCGGTTGCTCAATCAAGGCTTATAAGCCTTTGTCAAGTAGAAAGACACAGATAGCACAATACAGATAAGGACATCACAAAGAATACATTCAGGGTTACGGCTGGATTCGAACTCGTCACCTCCACGCTTAACAGAACGTTTGGCGGGCGATACCGCTCGTCCAGGGAGGCCCCGCCAACAACTATATTATTTTATTGGTTTATTAGATCTACATACGTTTACAGGCTTATGTGCTCAATGTAGGCTTGTAAACCTTTGTCAAATAGAAGGACTAGTAGCACAATATAGAGAAGGACACTCCGAAGATATATCCAGATAACAGCAGGATTCGAACCCGCTACCCCAACGCTTTGCACAGCTACACGCACGCCTCCATGCTACAATGCATCTCACTCTCGAACTTGAGCTATCTGCTTTTCAACTTGACTAGGGCTTATGAAGAGCATTTTGTAAAGACAGCTCGAAGACTGCACACATATGTGTAGCAATAAAAAAACTCGTTGCGAAATATATGCAAGCAAAGACCTTCGTACGGATCAAAATCTGTCAAACCATTATGACTACTGAACTGCTAATTGAAGAGGGTTATAACATATTTGACATTACATTACATATTTAAATATATATGGATGAAATACCAGGAGGTATGCAACATAACATTAGATATTTAAATATATATGGGCCATTCTAAAAGAGGTAGCAGGTTCGAATCCCGCCGTTACCATGAATGCATCTTCGTGCTATTCTTCTCTGTGTTGTGCTATCCGTCCTTCTTTGACAAAGGCTTATAAGTCTAAATTGAGCACACAAGCCTGCAAATGTATGTAATTCCAATAAACAGTTGCTGTTGTAGTTTATTTACGTCACACTAGAGCTTCACAATGGGCTATTGGCGACGGTCTGGGAAGCATCCCTGAGGATGATCCGAAGACATGTTATCACAATTTTGATCCTCTGGAAAGGGGAAGGCACCCCCATTTCGGTAGCCCGGCAACCTGCGTGCGTAGTCGAGCGCTTTACTGTAGAACAGTTTAACGATGACCCATACCGCACACCCTCGGTCCCTAAGCAGACTGTTCCTACTAAGCAGGTCACCCACCATCACACTGACAGCAGTCAGTGATGCTAGACTTCGGTTATCTGCTGGGAATCTTTTCTTAACTATCAGTCCACTGCGGGACTTTTCAATAAACAATAAACCAAGTAACTTTTGATAAATTGAAATTTGAATATCTACTAAGATATATCTGAGGCTGTTAAGTACTCGCTTAAGTACAGAAGTACTTGCTCAAGTCATCGCTGCAAAGATTATTAACTATAATAAATATATTATCAATATCATAGTAAATATAAGGTGACAAAAACACGGGGAATAAATGAAATTTCAAACCTCACAAGTTAATGTTTTTACAAAAACACTACTAAGTCACGTAGAATGTTTTTATGTTCTTTCCAATGCTCCGAACTCTGACGAAGTCTAACAAGTTCCAAAGGACTGTTCATTCGAAGAAAGTCAATGACAAAGAGGGGATCTCAATACATTTCCTCCTTGGTAAGGCCCAAACATTCCAGTAAAAAGAATGAAATTTTTCCTTAAAAGTATTATTTACTACTTAAAATTCCATTAAAATACGTATTACTTAAAGTAAAAGTCTATTGTAAAGTAGGAGACGTACTAAAAAGACGCTTTACTATGAACCAATTTGTTTTCCAAATTTAATTTCCTGAAGAAAGAAAAAACGGCTGCTTAAGAAGAACGCTGACAACATGAAATTAAATATGTGGCTATCGTTGCCAATCTTACTTGATAAGTAATTCAAGTTTAAATTTTTGAATTACATTCGAAGTAACAGTGAGGACAAATATCTGCGACATGTAAATTCTCTTTTTATCAAAATGCTGAAAAATATGACATAAAAAACAGCAAGTGATACTGAAAACTAGAAGTTAGTTAAGACCATAAATCATAGCAGAAAAATCATATTGCATAAAAAAACAAAATGCATTTTTCAGAATACATTATTTTATATACAGACAAAAACATGTGAAATCGTATAAGAAACTCAATAGTAATTTTAAATTTTGTTTTGGTTTAAACTTATAAGAAATACAGCAACAGAAAATATCGGGCTCTAAAAGATCAAGAGTAGAGAATACAGAGTTTAATGGTACACTGCGTCACTTAATTCAAGATTCCGTCGTCTTCTGAGTTAGGTTCTCAATTACAAGGACTTTAATAGACCATTCAATGCGGCCATAACATGAGCAAAATTTTGTCTAATCCCGATTAATCGTAGTGTAAAAGCTGAATTTTGATGTTTATTTACAATAAGCTATGCATATAGCTTCATTTAATCAATTCATAAATTGCTTTGTAAAATTGATAATGAATATAATACATATTTGTTATAAAATAAATTTATTTATAAATAAAATATACACGTTTATAAAGACAGAACATAACGTATAGCTCGTATCAAAACGTTTCAACAATAACTATAAGAGATTTGTATTAAAAAATAACTATACTTCTTATTTAATACATCTATACATCTAATCACATTAATATAAAACTATTAAATACTACGAATATATTTACATGCGTTAGATATAGATTAACTTATTAATAAAAATGATATACGGACAAAAAAGATATTCATTAATAACATGTAAAATAAGCAAGGTTCTTGTTTAAGGCATTTCTACGAAATTAAATCAGTATATTATATTAGTAAATAAATTCCTTATTTAAAACTAATTAAAGGTAATAATAATACTTTTTAAAACTTAAATTACTCTTGTTTTAACCCTTAACGAAACAATGCCACCATATATGTAGCATAACTAAAATTATTTAATTATTTTTATGACACTTATTTTTGTCGTATTTTTAAATTTTAGATGTAATTAATTAGTATCTGTCGTATTTTTAAATTTTAGATGTAATTAATCATTGATTATAACAATAATTAATCATTGTAATTATACCAGATGGGAAGCAAACAAGAAATACTTTCAGACCGATAAATGTTAATAGCTATATTTGTAATTATGTGAAGTTATGAAAACTTGCTTATTTTTTTCCAACATCCTGGAGTTTTTAAGCATTTTAATAACCCTGTGCGATGGACAGATTGCAGTGCAAAATTAAACAATTTTGTAACAGGCTAGTGGTTAGCAGTTGCATTTTTAACAGTGATCACGTTTTAAAACATATAGCCACTTTTTCAAAAATTGAAAATTTTGAAACAAAGAAAAGTATTGGCAAGTAATTGCATAATATTGGCTATATAAATGTACCTCATAATCTGGTAAACATTGTGAAATTTTTAAAATTAAGAAAATTTTCTTAAAAAAACGTAAAATAAAATATTTTTCAGAATATTATTAAATACTCATAGTAATTTCATACTCATTAAAAAAAGTTTTAAAATGCGCATTGCATTTTTGAAGAAAGAAATGATGATCGAGTGGTGACTGGCAGTTATTTTATTAATCACCACCATTTGTATAGCAGGCGGCGACTGCTAATTTTATCCTCTATAGTACATATGGATAAAACAATAAACACCCTGAGTATCTGTTCAGATATAATAAACATCCTCTATACATCACAGAAAAAAATATTACACTATTTTATACAACAGATAAATACACAAATAATGACTTATGGCTATATTGCAAAGATGAAACGAGTCTTCTAGACCAGCCTTCGACTCAAATACCCGGATGCAATGAAAGCGATGACCAGAGTCTGAAAAGGCATAAAGAGGTTGATCCCAAAAGATTTCTTGGACTTGTGGTGCATTTCGTGTCCCTCGTGTTTATGATCGTGATCCTCGTGCTCATGGCCGTGGTCATCGTGATCGTGACCGTCATGACCATGGTGATGATCAGCACTTCTGGTTATTCTCGAACGATGATGGTTTAAGTTGAGTATCTTGACGCTTTGCGGATTCGCGTTGAGCATCGAGAGGACTTGCTGCAGAGTGTGCAAATTCCTGCTTTCGGATTTGTCGAGAACTACAGGGACGAGAGGAACATCTCGAGATCTGTTCGCAGTCTCTCTTTGAACGATGACCGGCAAGTATGAGGAAGCTTCTGCTGCGTAAGGGTGGTATTTTGTTTCTGCGGGTCGCCTTGTTTGGGGACGGCTTGGAGGAACAAATGGCCGTTGATTTTTCCCAGTAGAATGCAAGATAACGGGTATCACGCTCTGTCCGTTGCGACCTGCCACCGCGAAGATCTGCGACAGGGATTGCTCTTTCGAATGTTGCGGTGGCTGTCTGGTGACGTTTCTGTAACCATTATGCCGCTGCTGGGTGCGGTAATGTCGGACATCGTCATCCCTCAGCGGCTTTTCTTTTCGGGCATTTTGTATGACGGATATTTGCGACCGGAGAGCGTCCACAGCTCCCAAAATGTCCTGCTGCGTATGGTGCTGCGGTCTTGGCTTGTACTGCTGTTGCTGCGGTGCTACCGAGCTTTGCGGTGGTTGGTACACTTTCACTTTGATCGCTTCTGACTGGTACCTCTGTTTATGGTTCGAAGGGGCTTGCTGATTGTTGTAGAAATAATTACCTCTGGGACCGGGCGAGTGGATGACGTCACCGAGATTGAATGATTCCATTGTCACTGGCCTTTGCGTGGGTGGCGGAGGTGGACGCGTCGTTTTGAACTTATACAAACTTCTCTGCTCGGGAGTGGTGTAGAAATATTGAGTGCGCTCTTTCGTTTCTGGTGTGGAAGGGCGATGATGTGGTTCTTCATAAGCTGGTGTTTTGAGCTGTAGGTTTAAGAAGTCGTCTTCAATCTCTTTTGATTCCTCCGTCCAACTCTCTTTGGCATATGAAGGTAGTTTCTTTTTCTCCCCTCCTCTCTTGTAGTCGCTTTCAAAGGAGTTGTAGGTTATGTTCCTCACATGTTGTATGCTAGCCTCATGCCGTAGGGTGTCCTGGCAGGAATCCACTACGTGTATCTTCCAGCCCAAGTGTCTGTGCGTGTAACACTTGAAAGAGAAGAGATTGAAAAAAAAGATATTAGTTCCCAGAAAGCATGTACCATTACCGCAACCTTGTAACAGAATTTTTCTTCTATTGTCACGAAATTATTTGTACTAAAAACCGCTTTTCAATAAAGCAAAAATATTGCAGTTTCAAACCTGTCATCCTAAAAGGATTAAAAATAATTTTTCAAAGCTTTTTTTTTTAAAGTATTGTCACTTAGATCCATAATGACGTTCTACCTGACGCCACACTAGAGATAGGATCAAATTGCATTGTCCATTAAAATTTCATGACAAGGTGGATTTTAGCTGAGCATACAAGACGTTGCGAAAAGAAACCTTATAATTACCTAGTTTTAAGACTATTTTCACCTTAAGACTAGCTTTANTATTGTCACTTAGGTCCATAATGACGTGTTAGCTGACGTCACACTAGCTATAGGATCAAATTGCATTGTCCATTAAAATTTCATGATAAAGTGGATTTTATCTGAGCATACAAGACGTTGCGAAAAGAAACCTTATAATTACCTAGTTTTAAGACTATTTTCACCTTAAGACTAGCTTTATTCAAGAATTTTTTCAAGCTAGTTGACCCTAAGACAACCATGATTTAAGGTTTTCATATAGAAGTTTGTTTTTCAAGGTTTTGGATGAGGGTAATGTGCGTAGAATAGAGCAGATTGTCACAGATCTTGTTTTAAGATTATAAGGTTTACACGTAAACCGCATAAAAAACCTTTTTTTTAGGTTTTCTATACAAGGTTTCTGCTGTGTGAAAAAAAAAACTTATTTTGCTATTTGGGTTGAAATCGCTGTTTTTAAATATATGGGATAAAGTTCTAATTTTAATTGCATTTAAACAATTACTGGAACTAATGTTACAAACAAAATACGAAACCCAGTATTCTGTAAAATTACATTTTTGCTTTTTTTCACATTCACTAGCAATTAATAATTGTTTTTATGCATGTTATTAAATGCATAAAAATTTTGCAAAGTATGAAATGATTAAGGATATCATGAGTATAATGTATAACTTAATCCATGAGCACGAACTTATGGTAAAAGATTCAAAATTAAAAAGAAAAAAGTAGTAATAATTACCTGGTAATAAAGAAGATCTGGAGTGTCCTTGTCTGGTTTGAAAGTCAAACGTCCCTGTTTGCCACGATCGCATTTGAGCTCCAAATTCTCTTGGAATAATTCGAATGTTGCAAAATCATCAACTGCTAAGTTCTTTGGAAGTTTATACTCGCACATGCGCCCCTCTGCGGAAAAAATAAGACTTTATTATCAAAAAGAACAAGAAATTCGAATGCTGGTAGATTTTAATAAATTTTAATAAAGGTCAATCCGTTAAAAGGATCCGATACAGGTGGATTTGTACCTACATTCAAACAAGAGAGAATAGCAATTTTATCTCACTTTTTAGGGAATTTAAAATTCTGGAACAAGTTAGAAAATATAAAGTTGGTAAAAGGGCTGTCACAGAATATATAAATTAAATTAAATTCCTAATGTATTTAATATCTGGGTGATTCTCACGAAATATGACAATTCACAGTCCCTTACTCCAAGACTTAATACTATAATACTAAAAGAACTTTTTTAAAAAAAATTTAATAAATAGCATTGCTGTTAGCATTTTAAAATAATCTAGTACTAGCATCAACTATTTTGTATATTTAAAAAATTAAATTGAACTTCAAAATTTCATGTTTCTGGCATGTCACAGGCAATGTTTCCAATAATAACTAGCTTCGAAACTTCTCATAAAATTTTCAATATCTAATTTTTTGTATCTCAACCGGTGTAAGCATTTCTAGAATATACGAAGAGGGTATTATTTACAAAAACTTCGTTTAAAATAATTTTTTCTGTCAATAATTTGTTTGTCCCAAGAAAATCTGTCATTTTCCTGGGTACTTTTATTTAGTGATTTATAACCAAAATGGACAGAGCCAGCAATCAATATCTTATGTTAATAGATTGATCTTATGTTGTTAGATACCTTCCTATAGTAACATGTCTTCTTGCATGAATAAAGAACCAACTTTCTTATTCAAAATCTATTTCAAAAAATTTTTCAAGATGAGTAGGTTTTTGTGTTGTCATTTTCCTGTCTTCTTGAAATCATTAATAACATAAACTATATAGATTTATCTGAGTTATTTTAAAAAATCCTGTTGTTTTCTGCAGAATATAAACGTCTTAGGCCAAAATATTAAGTTAAAGTTATATGCTATAAAAAGGCGAATTTGTTATTATCCTGGCTGTCACTTTCTTGGCTTATGAATGCCAGGACATTGAAGTGTTACCAGAAATTTTTTTTAACTGCTAATACTGTAAAGAGGGAAAGCAAATATTAAACTAATGCCAAGTTTATGTTTGATTGTAATAAGATTGAATGTAATCAAAGTTATTTATTTAATTAATGACACACAATTTTATTCTGTACATAACAGCAACAAAAATTTTTTTGTTTCTTTCTACAGTAGATAAAAGAATTAATTTAAGTTATTCATGTTCCATCTAACATAAAGGCTTAGATTTTGTTACTTAATAATAGCTTAAAATGACTGTTTTTTCAAACTTCTAAGCTAATATGTCATTTTCATGGCATTCAAAATGTGGACAATATCTATTTAATTTTTTTCTTGAGCAAATGTCAATAAACTATACTGCTATCTGTATGATATTAATAAATGTAACTAAATAAATACACAAAAAAATTTTAGATTGTTTTGAAGACTTTAAATTTGAAGAAATTGTTTTCGTCCGAATTGTCATGTTTCCTAAGAATCACCCATCTTTACGCCTGAAGAAGATGGTCCGTTTTAGCAAATATACTTAATTCCATTTAAAGAATCAAACATTTATCCAAAAGAAAGATTGAGTATACTTTGAGCTACCTTTGTATAAAGCAAATCAAAAAATAAAATTATTTTTGCGTTACGAATTTGAGAAAAGTTTTTTTAGTATGTTTTTTTCTCAATAAATAAAAAAAAATTCTTTTATTGAAAAGCAGTACATTTTTACAACTGATTTCGTAAATTCCTACGCATCTCTAATTAATTATCAAATTTAAAGTATAACCGTCTATTACTAAAAAATCCATAGAAAATTCAAAGCTTGACACTGTTTTGTTTAGGTTTTTTTTTGTAGGGGGACTCACAGAATATATTTTTAAAGAACCTTTGCGCGGGTTTTTTCCCCAAGTAAAAAATTTTAATATGCTAGAATTTCCTACAAACTGTTAGCAAAATTTTTTTCTTGAAAAAAAAACATATTTCTAAACCTTACATTACAATTGAAAAAAAATATTTTAGAGAAAATTTTCGGTAATGTTACGTACTTAATGAAATGTTAATAATAATTATTAAATATTATGTTGGGTTGACTAAAGTGAATTGATAGGTAAATCAAAGTTTAGTTTAATATTTTGAAAACTGAAAAAGAATAAAATTTAAATAACCTAGCACTAAATGATAAGAATTATCTAAAACTTTTACGGGTACCATAATACGACGAATTAACGAAAAATAAATAATTATTAAATATTGTGTTGGGAATTCAAAGATTTGATTAATTTTAGTTTCTAAAAGTAAAAAAGATCACAAATTAAATAATCTAACTCTAAATGATAAGAATTATCCAGAACTTATAAAGGAGATGATGAAATTAAGATCTAAAAATGAACACTACCTTTTTGTTTATCTATTCGTTGAATTCAATTCTTATATAACTTGTAGAGAGACTTATCAAAATCTCTTACTTTCAAATTATCCACATCATTAGAGTAATTAATTTTGATAGAAATTCCTTCCTACTGTATTTTTCTCAAATCCCATCTCGATATCATTGACTTCATTAGATACCATTCCAATTAGTGTCATTAATTAGCAAACTGTGTTAGTCGAAGACTACTTAACGTAATAACAACAACAGCAAACAAAAAATATATCTTTGTGATTTTTCCTCATCAAAGGATTTAAAATTCATCCCTAATTATGAATACACTTGGAGCAGCAGTGAGAAAAAGATTAAAAGTGAAATCAAGCAATAATGATTATTATTTACGGTAAATAAAATTCTGTTGACAGAAAATTAAATAACATTCTACTTAATTACGAAAACTTGATGTATTCTTATCAGTAATGAAATTATTTACCAAATTAGGTTGCTTATAATAAACCTACCTGAAAGTTCATTTTATTATTATTATTTATGGGAAATAATACTTTGGCATTTTCAAAAATACCCTTCATTTTTTTAAGAGCAATCATGAACATACAAAAGAACTTCGATTATCTAAACATTTTTTATTCGAATACTCCCGTTAACCAACAGTTGATTCTGCTGTTTTCTTCTCTTTTTTTGCTTACCTTCTTTTTTCATTTAACCTTCACAAACCAAAATGAAGCTTATAAATGACGCCATTTCAATTTTTTTTCTTCCTGCAAGCCCTCATCATTATGGCATTCATTTATGCCACAATTCAGAAGCCAATCAGGAACGACACACACGCGTGACGTCAATTACAGTTATCCAATTAAATCTGATTTCGGAATTTCATCCAGCGTGATAATAAATCAAACCGAATTGATGTAACCCGCCAAGCACAATCACGTGTATAAGTGCAATCATGTGATTAAAATCACGTGGCTGGACCTAATCACGTAATCTTCTTGTAGTAGCCGTATTTTTTAGTATTCCTAGAAATACGATTGCAGATCAAAAATATATTTACTTGAGGTCCATAATGAATGCAACTTCAAAATTTAAAAAAAAAGAAAGGAAAAAAAAAATTTGAAATTTTTTTTAAATTCTACTTTATGATATTTTTTGTAATGATATTTTCCGGAATATGAAAAAAAACGGTTACTCATTTCGCAATATGACGATAAATTGAAAAAGCAGGTGAAAATAAAGGAGAATAAAGCAGAATCAAGTACGGATCAGAAAGGTCATGTCACAGTGGATCAGGGGACGGGGTGCTTGCCTCTCATGCTGTGGGCCAGTTTTAAATATCAGCCATGGTTGATAGATATGAATTCTTCTTCTGACTGACATCAACCACAGGGCTGATGTAAAATATCCTCAACGGTAAGCAGATCATGGACTTAAGAGTTTCCTTGCTGTCAGAATAGTCATGGGAGATTTTCACGCAAATTGGACGAATTCCATCTAAAAGTTCTTCATAATGTCTTATCCAACCGTTCTTTTTTTTTTTTTTGGTTATTGAACCCTAAATGATTGATTTTCTTTAGAGGAAACCCCTATGTCATAATTTAAGTTTATTAGCTACTGTGAACATATTATTCACAAAACAAGGTTAGTAATTATTTTCAAGTAGAAAGAATAAAATTCTTTCATAGTTTTTTTCATTACTAGTCTTAAATCAAAAATTTGAAATCACAAGTCAGAAGCGGCATCTTGTCTAGTTTTGAACTTCTTTATTTATTTTGTTGTTGAAAAGCATAAAGTAAGATGAATTGCAGTTACAATTACAATGAAAAAATTTTGTGATGATTTTTTAAGAGAAAGTTTGATTAGAAACTCATAGTAATGCTATTTTTTATAAATTCATATCGTTTTTATAATTTATTCAATACATTATTGTTAAGAAAAGCACTTCTGTTTTCTTCATTTTTCTAGTTTATATAGCATTTTACTTAATTAATTTAACAATAGTAACCAAAACATTAACTGACATGGGGATCCTTATTTGGATATAAGGGTAATTAAAAGTTTCAAATACAATCAGCTAAGAAAATTTTAAACTCTTGGAACTCATGGGACCTTCCCAATGGTTCCGCAGAACACCTTTTGATAACCACTGGCATAGTCTGTCCTAATCATGCCTGATGCTAGGGTTCCCCTGGAGCCAGGCTTGAGTTCAAAATTACAAAGCAACAGATTTAAACATTTAGAGTCGTTAGTTAAACGATGGTTAGAAAATAAAATTAAATCTATAATTCAAACATGTTCTTTTGGTATACTGTTTCATTAACAAAGGCTTCATGCTGCTAACTCTTTGACATTTTAAATTTTTGTTAAACTCTTTCATAGCTAAAGGGAGGTTTTTCATAGAAATGGGGGTCTGGTGGGCGTATTAGGTTAAAGCGTCGCTCGCACTGGTTGAAGAACTAGGGGTTGTGAATTCGATCCTGGTAGCTGGTCAAAAATCTGGCGAATATACGCAGCAAGGTGTTCGCTAAATATGTCGTTGATTGAAATTCTCTTATTAGTTTGGGTGTTTGAGAAAGGGAGTTCCAGCTCAGGTGCCGTCCACGTCGCCATGCCATACCCACCTTTGCCGTCTAAAGATATCATCGAGATAGAAAAATTGGACTAAGTGCTTGGCCATGGTAGGATGATGATGTATTTGTTGGGAAAACATTGAACCAATATGATGTTGTTGTTGTAGTTCATTTACGTGGCACTGGAGCTGCACAATGGGCTATTGACGACAGTTCTGGGAAACATCCCTAAGAATGATCCGAAGACATGCGATCACAATTTTGATCCTCTGCAGAGGGAATGGCACCCCCGTTTCTGTAGCTCGACGACCCGCACGCGAAGTTGAGCACTTTACGTTAACTAGTTTAACGAGTACCCATACCGCACACCCTCGTTCCCTACGCAAACTGATACGAGTGGTCACCCATCCGCACACTGATCGCAGCCAGTGAAGCAATATTATAAATCAAATTATAGTATCCATTTTTCCACAGTTGTCAACTGGCAGTGAAGAATTTCTTTAATTATTCTAAATAGCGGATTGTTTAACGAAATATGTCCTGTAAACAGGGTTGTTTTCCTGTGTAAGCATGTAAGTTTAAATCGGAAAAAAAGAAGAAACTCACTTGCAGACGGAGTGTGTTTTCCTCTTCTGTCGCTCGAAACGCCAGCATAAACTTTTACTCTCTGTAAGCCAAATACAAATTAAAATTAGCACACTTAAAGAAGAAGAATATTTTCATTTTCAAACTATGAAAATGGTTTTTTCTTGCCAATTTTATACTGCGCAGCTTTAACACGAGAAAGAATGAAACTTAGTATATACTTATATTGCCCAAAAAGCAGTGGAAATGACTGCATTGTGAAAGAATAACTAATGTGTAAAGAAATTTGTTTGAAATTAATTTGTAATATTATATATTTATAATATTTACAGTTACATAACTTGTTATTAGTAAATATTAACAATAAAAAAGCTACATGTACAAAAAGTCGCAACATTTTAAGAAATTGTGTCATTATATACATCATTGTTTTTCTAATTGAAATTAAAAAACAGTCAAAATGACTTCCTTGGGCAATCTAGTGTTAAATGACAATATTAAAAAAGAAATGGAACGAAATCGGTCAGCTAGTTTCATATTATATTAAATATTATTATTCAACAGATATTAAATTTCAACAGTGCCAGGTTTTTTTTTAAAATTCATTTCTCAAGAACTAGGCAGTTATTTCAATTCAAAAATTTCTGTGCTTGTCATATCAAAAAATTGTGTATCTTGCCATTGTAAAACTTTTTGACCATTATTAAATAAGTAATAATTAATAATAATGTAATTAGTAATTAATTAATAATAATGCAATTAATTAATAATAATGTAATTGATTAATAATTAATAATGTAATTAATAATTAATTAATAATAATGTAATTAATAATTAATTAATAATAATTTAATTAATAATTGATTAATAATAATTTAATTAATAATTAATTAATAATAATTTAATGAAAAGTAATTTGATTAATAATTCAATTAATAATAAATTGATTAATAATTTAATCAATAATAATTTTATTAATAAAGTTCTAATTAATCATTAAAATTATATTTTACGCAGCATTATATTATGGTAAACGAATTTCATAATTGTGCTCAAACGTTAAGCGCTTCTTAGTCATAAAACAACAAATATTGAACGCATGATGATGCCTATTATTAATAACAAAAAAAGGCCAGTTTTGACCAAATAGGAGACCTTTTTCTCGGCGCTGGTCTTGTATTCGTATCCTCCTTCAGGATCGTCTGTGATATAGAGGGGGTGTGTGCGAGCCAGATTTTCAGGATCATCGCCCCCTTCCACAATGAAAGTGTAAGTCTTGCCTCTTTCCACCGTTAGTTCGGGAATGAGCATTCCATTGATGTACCAAGCAAGGCCCCAACCCACCTGACCTGCAAACAATTGGTTGAAGTCAATCAATAAGTGAATAGAAGATGTAAAATTTTCACAGTCAAAGTAAACAGTAAAAAGAATATTAGTAAGTCTCAGAACGTACAGGGTTAGCCAGTTATAGAGGACTTTTAATTTACAACTTTAAATTAAAAAGTTATGCGGAAAGCTAAGAATACACTCCCCAAGTTTCTGCTACAGATATTTCCAAACTGTATGTCCTTTTCAAGTTTCGACAATTAACACCTTCCCTTACTAATTTTTTTGAACAAAAAATTCAAAAAATCAACATATTTTTTTATTATCAACATATTCCATTAATAAATACAAGGAACTAAAACAAATTATAATACACAAGTTCTAAGTTGAAATTTTAATTTTTTATGCGTAAAAAATACTTCCATCAGTTTACTATCTCAAATAATTTTGGGCAATTGAAAAAAGTTAAAAACTAGTCCTTGTATATGTTCACATCTTCATAATCTGAAAAATCATCTGCTTTACTTTCACTTTCGTTCGCGAACGCTATTTTTTTTTATTCTTTCTCATTTTTTATTCGCCATTTTTTTATTCAGCAACCGTCATATATACAATTGTATAAAACACGCCTGCAGTCCCACAAATAGCAAGATTCCCACACAAAAATTAGCAAACTTCCAATCACAGTAGATTATTATTATTTTTTGTTTTGCTTCCGGTCAAATAAAAACGTGACAAAACAAAACGTATTGACGAATTCTGCTATGCCCGAATTTACTCGGGATAATAAATATGTGCCCGAGTTAACTCGGGCTAATCAGGGAAGCGGTTAAAAGGGTAACAGCAACGTAAAACTTTTAAATATTGAACGAAATTTTTTTAAAAATTCATTTAAAGTAGTTTATCCTAGATTATTTGTAAAAGTTACAGCGTAATATGTTGAGAGTAACGCAGGACATGATATGACGTGTCTAAACAAGCGAACTTACACTCTTAGTTGATTCATGGATTTACTCACTCCTATCAATTCACTTAGTAAAATGCAATCATTTCAACTATTTTATTGAAATAATTTGGTTAAGGAAAAGAATTAATCGTACTTTCAAAATAAATAGTTGAAATTAAAACTTCCTCAGCTGCAATGATTTTTTAATGAAGGTTGGAAAAGTTTATCGATAGTTATGGATTGGTTGGTACTTTATTTACGTCACACTAGAGCTGCACAATGGGCTATTGGCGACGGTCTGGGAAACATCCCTGGGGATGATTCGAAGACATGCGATCACAATTTTGATCCTCTGCAGAGGGGATGACTCCCCTGCTTTGGTAGCCCGACGACCTTTGCGCGAAGTGAAGCACTTTACGGTAGAACAGTTTAACGTAACGAGGACCCCCGGTTCCTACGCAGGCTGATCAAAGTGGTCACTCTTCGGCTTATTGACCGCGACCAGTGATGCTTGACTTCGGTGTTCTTGTCTTTACGATCTGTCCACTACTGGACGATATTCATGGATCGTTTAGAAATTATAGGTTCAGCAACTAAAGAGTATGTTAAAAAAAAACATATTAGGCCTCGCGTGAGGGTAGATCGACGTGGAAAAAAAAGACTATATCAGCATTTCAGACCTTTGAAAATTGCGAAGAAGCATCATTAACATATAGACTTGATACTGATGCATTATAGTTAGTTGTAACATTTTATATATTTATACGGATTATTGATCATAAAACTTTAAACACGGTTTACCCGAAACTACGTTTGTCTTACTTACACAAGCACTTTTTAAAATCGCTACAAATCATAACTATTGTGTTCTGATATTTTTAATGCCTATTTCTTATTTGCTACTTCAAAAAAAAAAAAAAAAAAAAGGTAGCAACAGTAAATAGCGTTAATTAAACATTCAATTTTACTAATTCTAGGCAAACTCGTTAATTCAAAGCAAAAATATGTATGTACATGATTTTACATATTTAAAAAAAAAAGATTTTTGCGTAATCAATTAGTGGAAAGTACCATTTAAGCAATCTCCACCAATCACTGTTTAGGTTAATATAATAAATAAATATTATTGTAAAAACCGTATTCCTTTAAAGGCGTGCTTATATTTCTAGCGTAATTTACTGCGATTTTTACTATAAAACGCGTGATAACTTTTTTTTAAAAAAAATAGACTATATTTGAATAAAATTTAACCAGTAGTTATTTCGAATATTCCCTGCAACGAAATATTCAGTGTAAGAAGTAGTGGTTAACAAGAAAGAAGAGAAAAATAGTTCGGTGAGAAGAAAATGAAATAGACCGAATTTTACTTCCGAAACTGAAGAGAGAGAGAGGAAGAAAAAAAAGCGAACATAAAACGGAAAGTTGAAAAGAAGTCCTAATGAAAAGGGATAAGTGCCCCGCCATAGATGTGTATAGAGATTCGATCAGATCCACTCCAGTTCTGTGTGTCACATCACTGGAAGGTGAAAAATTCTCGAACAGTTCGTGTAATTAAATGGGATGGCTAAATAAAAGTCGAGAACATCTTTCTAATCTTGTAAGTCGCGGAGTGAGTAAAGAAAGAAAAAAAAGAAATAACCTAGATTGAGTCAGGTATTTTGAGAGTAGGGTTCTGTGCTTTTATTAAAAAGGTACAAGTCCATGAACCAATTAAATTTCTTTAAATTTAGAAAAGGTTAATAAAATGAGAAATTGAAAATAAAAAGTGAAGATTTTCAACCAACATTTCCTGAAAAAGGAAAAAAAAATCTCAAATGCCTGGTGTACTTTTGCACAAGTTTTACAACAGTAGGGTGTTTACCTCATAGTGGAATTGAAAACGAAATTTTATTCCCTTTTCATTTAAATGTGCGTTCATTGACATATTATATTAAAAAAGGGAGTTTACGAAGGTCGAACTGTAATAGCTTATACTGAACATAAAATCACAATATAGTATAGTGAGCGTATAATTTTAATTTCGTACATGGAGCATAGAATTGTACTATAAAATTTGGAACATGGAGCAGATAATATTGCGCATTAAAAATGAAATTGTTTATATCATACTATTGTAAATTGAATACGGAACTCTATATCGTAAAGTATATAATTACGATACGGCCAGACTCCCCGTGTAGCGAATGGTGACTGGTGCAAGTTGAATCTGTCGGGTCACAAAGTCCTCCATGTTCCCATAACAAATCATGCCTCTGAGGGTACTGAATTGGAGATGGATCGTTCTCTGGTTCAGGTCATAATTATGATTTGTGGATGAATGAAAAGATGTAGGAATAGGTCTGCTCTATAAAGGGACTGTGATTTGTGTATGGCTGAAGTCGTATATTCTTGCCCATAGATGGCGCCATTGAAAAACAAGAAACTTTGCCTTAAAGCTCGCTTGGTTTTACCAAGAAGGCTTGCCGGTATTGGCAAGTGGCATTAAACACGATATCACAGTGTTCCGTAGTAAAAAATGTACGTTCTATTTGATAGCTCATTTCTTATTCTTACCAGGAAAAGTTGAGAAAAATTTCTTATTTTCAATTCTTCTTTTATTTATTTATTTTTTTAAATTTATAACAATAATTCGTAAGTTGTCGGTGGCACTATTTGAAAAGTTATGAGAAAAAATCACTTTAATGCACGTGAACAAGTTGCAATTTTGGAGGATGTTCGACATCCCGCTAAAGCTTTGTACTTCAAAATTTCTAACACAAAAAAATTGACCCAATTTACTGACTGTTTTTTATTAAGGATAAATTTTTTTTGTATTGCGAATTTGTATGTCCCAAATTTCTTACAAATTATTTTGGCAGATTGCTGCATGTCTGCAGAATGTTCAGCATAGAGAATTGCAGGTTCGACTGTTATGGCTCTTCGATACTCAAACCTAGTTGATCAATTGCTTCTACCATAGTCTAATAGAACATATGCTAGGGCAATCATTCGATTAAATTACAACTTTGTCATTTACCTATAGACTCAAATCATTTTAACCCTATAGCATTCATTTTAATTTCTTTAAAAAAAAATCTATTTTATTTTTTGTTATTGCTCTTGTAACATTCATATAATGAAAGTCAAACTAAAAGTAAATGCAATGCAATCGTATTTTACCAGTTATAGCTTGAAACCCCTTTTTACCGCCAGATGGTCCAATTTGAGCTCGGAATGTTCTATCTGCCGGACAAACAATGGGTGGGACATGCCAGGCAGTGCTCACTTTAGCCTCGCTCACTCGGACATCCGATGCAGCTGTCCTACTGGCGTATTGTTGATGTTGGGGTCTACGACTTCGGCTGCTGGGGGTAGTGGGTTTTCGTTCCGGTTTTTTGGTCGGCTTTCTAGTAGTCGTAGTGGTGGGTGGAGGTTCTGTGTCTGGCTCAAGAGGTTGAGGACAGTTCCATTGCGGGGATCGGGCGAAATCGATGTAGACGTCACCTTTAGAAAGAAAATAGTGCAGGAAAAATTATTCTATTGCAATAAAAAGTGATTTTCTTATAAAATAATTTATAACTCTCACTATCATAATATAATTTTGCTATACAAGTTTATTTAGCGTTTTCGGAGTGGGTAGTAATTGTATTTGTGCTAAAGTTCAATTAGGGACAATTCGTTTTGACACTTTTCGACACCTTATCCCCCCTTTTTAATAAAAAATAAGCTAATTACAAACCCTCAACTATTTGTAAAAAACACCACCCATGGTTTTTTTTCTCCATTTAATACTTACTTATACTGTGACAATCTAATATTAAAAGTTTAAGGATTAAGCTGTAAACGATGCAACTTTGTAAAAAAGAAAATTATTGAATAAAATTTTGAAATTTGTTAAAATAAAAAGAAGTTTTCCCAAATTTAACTTACTAAATTTTTCCAAATGTAATTTTTACAATCGTCCTTTTACGTTGCTTTTAAAAAAACTGAAATTTTAATATTTTACATAAGCATTTTCATATTCTTCATTACTTTCTATCAGGAAAAACATCCGGTTTCCCCTTTAAGTGCTTGCATAATATTTGGACGGCTCCTTGTATGCAAAAGAAAAATTGTTTCCACTTATTAAAACAGACAAAAAATATCTCTTGTATTACTCTTCATCATAAAACAAATTCTATATAAAACGAAGCTACAGTATACAGTTTAATATAAATCTAGTAATCAAGGAAGTTTTTTTTCCGTTGCCATTCTACACATTAAATTTTCATCAATTATATTTATCTTTTACAAATTAATCAATGAAATTCTTTGGGACCGAAATGCGTGTAGATAGAGCCGTATGCGGCTATACTGCACAACTTTCAAGTTAAAACGCTATATATATCACCTATACAAAGTATGTACTAAATTACATTAATCTTAACCAAAGTATAAATTATCTGTATCAGGTATATAAAGTAGTAAATTATAAATAAATTATGGTAGCATGTATACAAAGTAGCAATTAAAAAGTAATAAACAACACGGAAAATCTTGTCTAATAAATCTTAATTTGTTCTTTTTGTGTTGTTGCTTACCTTCTGATCGCATGGCCCCGTGGTAAGAAACTTCCCCTTTGTCATTCAATGGTCCAATTGCCCATATAATTGCCTGAGGACCATCTGAATAAATATGCTGATCATATTTCTCATCCACTGAAAAAAATAACAACAAATCTCATCATGTGAAACAGAAATCCCTCCTCCAATCCTAATACTTTAAATAGTTTTAAACAATATACTGGGAATACAAATTAGTTCGGTTCGTTTTTAAGAGATGGCTCTGCTGTTATAAATGTTTCATCGTGACAGCTGGTTTTTTGAGTTTCATACAAAAACCCTGTTTTTTAATTTGTTGAATATGTCGAATTTTGTGGTAACTAAGCAGCATTTGCTGGAGTTCATATGTTTCTGCTTTAATTGGAAGAAAGGTGCAGCTGAAGCGCATCGAATGCTTGTAGAAGTTTATGGTGACAATGCTTCAACTGATAAATCATCTGGGGAATAGATTCGACGTTTCAAGAATGGTGAATGAAGAAGGGTGAATAGAGTTGTACACTATGAGCTGCTACCTTCCATTACGGGTGATCGGTATAGGCTACAATTGATTAGTTTGAGCCGTGCATTACCAGAAAAACGGCCGAAATACGGTCAAAGACATGACAGAAATTATTCTTCTGTATAATAACAGTCGGCCTGATGTCGCAAAAGTTGTAAATATTATTTGGAAACGCTCAAGTGGGATATTTTATCGCACCCGCTACATTCGCTGGACTTTGCTTCTTCTGATTACTGGTTGTTCCAACGGATGCAGCACGATATGGCAGGTCACCAGTTCACTTCTTTCGCAGAAATCGAAAATTGGCTCCTAACTTTTATCGCCTCAAAAGAAGAGACATTTTTTCGAGATGAAATTCGAATTCTGAGAGGTGGGAAAAAGTAGTAGCCAGCGATGAAGAATACTTTGATTAATCTGCTCATTCATTTTGTACTGAAATAAATGCATTTTTGATCACAAAAAAACGGACCGAACTAATTTGTACTCCCAATATTAACCAATTATTTTTCACCGTCTAGATATTTACCGCAGGTAAGTACTTTGATTTCCATTTTAGCTACTTTTAAGACATGCCCACAATAATGTCAAAGTTTTTTAGGCATTGAATTTTTGTAATCATTTAAAATCTGTCTGATATCCATTAAATTCCACAAACCACCGTATCTCTGTGTTCGGAACATTTCAGTATCGTAGGCAGCAAAAGGATTATTTCCATCTCTGTCGTGAGTTAAGATCCAAAACTTATCCCAAAGCTCCATTGCGTGCTCTACTATTTCCTCATCTCTCTCCATAACTTGAGTCTCGTAGAATGTATACATGCTATTGCCAGAAAAAGGCAAATTGAGACACCAATTATTGGTATCGCAGTATGGAGCACGCTAGCACGCTTTGTGTTCCTACAGCCGAAAATAAATCTGAATAATTACTTTGTAAGTTTCTATTGTAGCTATCTAAGTTTCTGTTTCAATAAGAATGCAAATATATTCTAAACAAGTAACCAACTATTCAACACCATCACAAATCATTACTTCAGGCAACCTAATAAAACGAATCCAAATAAATATTTAACGTGTAACTAATTTTTTAACACTATTCAAATTATTATTCAAAACAACCTAACATAATGAATAACCATAATGTTGCTAATAGATAGAGAAATACCTAAGTTTATGGTGCCACATAAAAGAAATTTAAGTATAGATTATTAAAGCATATGAACTTATAAAAACGCATGACATTATTCAGTCAAATATATACTCAAATTTTCATATTCTCCTCATAAACCATATAAATGAGTTTTTTTTCTGCTCCTTATTTTTGAATCTCGGTCAGTTCTTTAAAGAATATTCATTGATTTTCATTCTTGTCCACTATCTCGACCCATTAGACACCAAACTTTTAGCAGACACTTTACCTACCAAATGCAAATTTGTTCCTATCTGACGCAACCTGTTACTTTACATGTTAACAATTTGCTTCTTAGAAAATTATAAGGAAAAGAATCAACAAAGAGTGTACGTATTTTCTAATTTATGGTTATGAGAATTTTGTTGATTTTTTTTTTCATTTGGAACATAGTGTCATTCTTATTATATTATATATACATATTATATTATTATTACATATATATATCTATATGTTATACATATGTAACGTAATTCATTTACTTTATACGAAATATATATCATTATAAGAAAAACATATCCGTGTAAGTAAAAATTTCTACTATTTTGCTAGAATTACAAAAACATTTACAAAAATAAACACTTGATCATAAATGAAAATAACTTGCTTAAATTTCCTTTATTTTCCAGCAGTAAAAGGTGATCATTACTATCAATTTAAAAAAAAAATTATGCGAATCAATTCAAAAAATCACAATATATTACTTTTACAATATTCGCTCCACATAAGTATTCTAATTCCTTATAATTTCCAAGAATAATGTAATAGAATAAAATATGAATGTAACTCACATCCCACTTGAGGTCTCTTCACTGTGACCATGGTGTAACCGTTGACAGCAGCAGCATTCAGAAGAGTGACACTGTTCTGACCATCAGGGAATTTAGTATCGGGGCAGCTACCACGTCGTCCAACACACTGTCCAAACAAAATTATATATATAGTACGAGAAAATCCGATCATTAAATCAAAAGATATTCAGGGTGATCGTGATCTAAGATATTCAGGATTAAACTAAGTTCGAAAAATAAATTTTACTTTATAGATTAATGAGTTAATTTAGAACAGTGGGCCATATTCAATTAGTTAGTTTTCTCGCTGCCGAATAAACGATTAAATACAAGTCGACCTTTGTCGAAGGGAAAAATATTTCTGAAATGAGGTATTTAAAAATGAGATCAGTATAGTTCTGAATCTAGTATCATAATGTAAACATATACCAGCTTATGAAACACCGACTTCATTATTATAATAAAACCAGTATCGTAGGAGATCTAGTATTATATTTTAAATGCACTGATTTATGATTCACCGATTTCAGTATCACATTGGAGCCGACAACATACCTGATTACGTATTATGCTATATCTATTATTACACTAGACCTGATGTTTCATTTGCATTTATATTTTTTTAACCGAATATTTTTTCACTAATTATCACTTGGACCAGAATTTGCAGTTATCGATTTATTAATGCTATTATTATAAATGTCTTCAGGTTAAGACCAAGTTAATATAATTCTGATAGGTCTCGATTTTTGGGCGTAATGAATTCATTCGATTCTTAACGTAGCATTAGAGTTACAGTAATGGCTAATCATGTTACAAAAACAGTGACACTTAACTGGGTTTAAGTATTAAAAAATATTAAAGCTACTTTCGTTGACCTAAGACAATTCTTCTAATTCAATCTTAAAAAAAAAAATTATTTTTTTAAAAAAAGTATTAAGATGTTGCTTGAACCTTCCGCGGTATTTAAGAGAAATTTTTATCAAATTCCTCTTCGTTGATAGGTTATCCAGAGGAGATAGACAAAACTTTTTCTTTAATAGGGCCCCCCTCTGCTTCAGTAATGAAGAACCGAACTTTATAGAGGTATTTAAATTTTTTACCTCGTTCTATATGTAACAAGAAAATTGAACAGAACCTATTTAGCTATAAAGTCCCCCCCCCCACATTCAGCCGTTTGACGAAATATCGTTCTGTCCATTTTATTGATTTTCTGACATTTCGAGCCATCTAGCTGCGAAAAATTCATATCCTTGCTAACATTAGGGTGGAATTCAGCTAAATTTCCGTAAATACGATAGCTCAATTAAGCCAATCAGAAGCTCGTATTTTTTAAACATATTGCACTTTGCGATATGTAAAAATAAGGCTTTTGATTGGCTAAATTTGTCAATCGTAATTGCGAAAATTTAGCTGAATTCTGCCCTAGAAAGCCATGAATTTACGAAATATAGATTTTTTGTGATCGATAGATTAATGAAGAAGCTAACGTAAAACCGAAGGATTTTTCACGGTACTGATATTTTGTTTAAAAAAAGTTCATTAAAGAATGAAACGTATAATATACTTTCGATTCGATTTGGGAGAGCCCTCTCATATGGGGGCCTGGGGTAATTGCCCCTGCCTTAGTCAGGCTCTGTTAAAATGTTGCTTGACCCTTCCCTGGTATTTAAAAGAAAATTTTATGAAATTCCTTTTCGTTGCTAGGTTACCGAGATGAGTTAGACAAAAAATTGTCTTCAATGGTTGCTAAGCAACGAGCTTGCAATTCCCTTTAAACGCTGTAGTGTTTTCCTGTGAAAATATTTATTATGAGATAGATATGTTACTTGTTCTTTGCTCTCTAGGTAATAGTCGACGGCGTGTCCCTTCCTCTTCTTGTCTATCCAGGCAACAATGGCGTCTGCTTTCACCATCTCAGATCTGCTATCGTTCTTACTCAGACCGAAAGACATGTAATCACCGGTCTCTGAAATGAAATAAAAGTGCATTGTTCATCTTTGCAGAGCTAAGTTTGTATTGGAATTTCCCTGCTTACCTCTGTAATTTATCACTGAAAACTGTGCGTCAAGAAAAACAAACCACCCTGAATAACTTTTGATATAATGATCGGATCTTCATGTTCTAGGACTCAATCTTAATAGATCGAGAGGTTGAGCTCAAATAAGCTAATTAATAAATGTGGGCGATATTTTTTAAGTCACTAAATCAGACAAAAAAACGTACATTCTCTGAATAAATATACCTTTTTTTTCCACAAATTCGGATTTCATAACCCCCCAAAATATAAGTGCTAGCCGCAATCTGGGTAATTTTACTTCCTGCGTATTTCGCTATATCTGGAGAACTTCTTAAGCGAATTGAAAACATTTTGCACACAATTATAAAATTCATCTATCCAAAGAGAATTTCAAGCAAAAAATAACTTTTAGTAAGTCTTTATTATTTTTTGATCATGTAATTTAATAATGGTTGAAAACATTTTGAATCGTAAGGTATATTGCATTATTTTAAAGAATACTACTTTAATTGGCAAAAAACAAAATTTGAGAAAAATTGGTTGAAAAGTTCCTAAGACATTGAATTTCAGATAAATCAGATGTTTAAAATTCAATTTCTCAAGAGCTATTCGACTGATTTCGCTCAAATTTTGTATTTTACCATATAAAATTATGTTCTTCGAAATGATGCAAAAATTGCATATCTTACAATCAAAATATTTTCTCCCATTATTAAAAAAATTGTAAAACCGTAATTTAAAATATCATCTGCGCTTATTAATTAGAATATTTGAAGTCACGTCCTCAAGCCATTTCTATTGTGTCCTAGAACGTGAAGATCCGTTCATTAGATCAAAAGTTATTCAAGGTGGTCCTTTTTGAAATGTTGTGCACTGTACACCTGTAAAAGTGCTTATCTTAGTAAGGGAAAAGAATTGACCATCAGTCTGTGCTAGTTTAGGTGTTGAAGGGCATGCTGCTTCTCTGCGTGCAACTTCGTTAGTTTGGCTGTCATTTCGGTAAGAGTGATAATTTCTGTTTGTTGATTTGGTGTTTATTATTGCAAAGATTCTATCCTTTTTAGTGCAGTTTTGAGGAGAACTCATCCAGACTAAAAGTCTACTGCTATGGTAACAAGCAAAAGCATAAGGAATTCATTAAGAAGCATTCTAATAAGGGTACAATGGAGGAATGAAGATGTCGATTGGTTTACTCACGCTGACCTATGCCAAGATCGAGACAAAGCTATTCACCTCTCACCCCTATTCGAAGTGCCTTTTTTCGTAACCATGGTACCAGCCACAACACGAGACTGGTGCCTGGAGGAGTTCTCCTAAAAGCAGCACTATACATTTACTTTGGGTAACAATGACTTCATAACACTGTATGCGCAATTTCGCACCAGACTTGCAAAGTGACAAAAACATTTTACGTTTAGAAAAATTGTAGCTTATATTTTTCTGTATTTTTTTTTCTATATACATTGAGCAATCCTGCGTGTGAAAATAATTATTTTTCTTAACTTTTAGAAAGACTTGCATGGTAGAGACTTGCATGGAAAAACTGTCAAGCAGACTTCCGCTTTTCAGTAACGTTTATGGCCTCGCAATGAGACGCAATAGCCCCGGTGAAACATCGCTGAACAACGAGGATCATTCTCTTGTAAGAGATTTCTCTCAGCAATAATTTTCAACAAGTGCAAATAGTATAGGGTATACTTTTTTTGTCGTATGCGTTTAGGCAGTGTGGGTGCGATTGTTCCTGTTTTTCAGTGGCGCCATCTATGGCCAAGAATTCGACTTCTGCCAAGTCATTCACACAACCACAACTCGTTTATAGGGCGGGTCACATTCACACACAAAGGAGAAAGGACATAGAACACAGAGAGAGAGAAAGAAACACCCATGCCTTGCCCGGGATTCGAACCCTGGACCTTTCTGATGCAAAGACAGTTCCCTATCCCCTACACAGGCCGGTCGGCATAGGGCATACTTTTATGTAGATTAAAGAAAAAAAAATGTGAATAAAGCACAAATGAAAGTACAGTTATTCAAATTTTATAGTTTTGGTTCTATAAACAATAACCTTCATCAGTGTCATCAGCACCCAAGTCTTGATGGCCTCATCAAAAAGTTTCGAAGTTGGTTTCAGTACAATTCATGATAGTCCAACATTATTTGATGATCACCATCATTCAGCATTTTCAATTACGTGTTCATGGTTTTTGATATGCCAACAAACTTCCATCATTCCATGATACTTTAATGCTGTGATGGTTAACCATAAAGAGAAGTTTGACTCTCATAGACCAACAATCCATGAGGATCCGTGATGGTTCCAACTATACATCTCCAAGATGGTTTAATGGGAATTCTTGTTGGTTCTCAGTAATATACCATCAGAACAATTTATGCCGGACCATCATAAATCTGTCCGAATTCCTACATTAGGATGGTGGTAGTCATTCCTACCTTAGGATGGTGGGAATTCGTGACGGTTCGCCATGAACAAACCATCACAACAAGTTGCTATTCTTACGTTGGGCCATCATAAATCAGTCCGAATTCCTATATGGAGGTTATGGTTACTTATGTTAGTTACGATCAAAAAATGTAATGGTTCATGATCGAATTATTGATGGTTACCATCAAGATTATGTTGGTCCATCAATGGACTTGGGAATGATTTCTTTTTTGCCACTGTATTCTACTGGGATTGGTTACCCCATCTAGTTCAACAAAATTTATGAAGATAATATAACTGGCGTACTTACCAAGTCTAGCAACTAGCTGCATGACGATATCTTCTCCATCCATAATCCACCTAACCTCATAACCAAGGTCGTCACGCAAAACCTCACAATTCAGCTTGTACTGAAAGGATAAGAAAAAATACAATAAATTTATTCTCACTACACTGTTAAAAAAATCCAGAAACTTTTCTAAATGTAAAAGACACCTACGGTGCATATAATTTTCAAAAATGTTTGTGAATAAAATTGTGAAAATCATGCACTTTGTTGTAATTTATGACGGCAATCGATATTCGAAGAAAAAATCTCCTTTTAAAATATAGAAAATTAAGCACTTTTCACAAACCCCCAATAAAAAAAATAACCTATAAGGGCTTTAGAAAAACATAAATTGAAAATAAGCACCTTTAAACACTTTCTTAAAAACGCTACGTACCCTGGATTCAGTTTCGTACTTCTGAAAATAAAAGAAATGTTTCTCCAATTGATCGGAAACACGTCATTAAATGAAGTTCTCTAAGTCTCTTGTCGAGTCAAAATTAGTTTTCCAACATTTTTACAGTGTAATAGAGCCATACATTTTATAATATAAAACCATCATTTGCTTCAGAAACTTATGAAGGTGTTAAAGTCGATATGTTTCGAGCGCTTAAAAATAGGCGCCCATTCTCAAGAGTCGCAAGACGAATGAAGAAAAATGAAAGACATTTGCGACAGACAACGTAAAGTTGTCGTCGGAAAAATGGAAAATATTTTCCTTTTCGTTTGCAACTTAATCGTTTTCTGTTTCAAATTTTTTTCTCGCCCCAAATAAGCCCCCTCATTTGCTTTTGAGTCCCTAACAAATCAATAAAGATTGAGAATATGGGTGGTACATTCTTTCTTAACACATGATGCGTATAGTATACGGATGGCACTTTTCGCAACGGTGTAAATGGTGCCTCATATTTTTGATTAAACAAAAATACATTGGAACTACTATTTTTTACGTATAAAAGTTAGATTTTTGGATAAACATTAGACTACTGTAAAAATTTGAAGAAACAAAGTAAAATTTTGAATAAAATGTGATATTAAAATCTTAAATATTAATATTAAAATATTAATATTTGGAGGCCGCTATCATTTTGGGAGCTGAGGACATGTTCCCTTTCTGCCCTTGCGAATATCAGGCCCTATTCATATTAACTGAATAATATACTAAAAGAGAAGAACGAAAAATTTGAATTTAATGAAAAGTGGGGTACAAAAAAAATTGAATTTATCGAAGAGAGAGAGAAACAAAGGGAAAATGAATTTATTACCAAACAATATGTACAGACATGATTTCCCTTATGTACGTGCAACGTACAGTATATATACACACAGTGCACTGAAAAATTACTGTATATGAAGTTTAAAATAAAGTAATGCACAAGCTTTTAGAAGGTGGTTTGAATTATATCCAAAATTTGATGAAAAAGTGACTATTATTATAAAAATTTTTTTTTTGAATTTTAAAAGCTTCTAAGCATTTTTTTTAAGGCTTTGTCCAAAGCTAAAAGCCCTATCGTTGATTGACGGTTATTTTGCTTCTCTTTTAGAAAAGAATAAATAAAATTGTAGATTATATTCAACTTTTTTGGACCCAAATTATTCCGAAATAATATAATAAGATAGAAGAAATAACAAATCATCCCATAACAAATCAATAAATCTGGGGGTACTGCTCCGGGAGTTTCCTTGTCTTCTGAATCTGTTCAAAACTGCAAGGCTACAGAGTTGAACATTAGTAGTTGTAGACCTAAAATTGGGTCGGCTGTTCAACAACGGATAAAAATGTAAAAAATATCATTTGGCTAAGACTATAAATATGTTATCTATTTCTCAGCAAATGCAAAATCGTATCATTAAACAGCGATATTCATTTGCATGTAGAAATGGAAATATTTACTTGCATGACTTTTTATCTCCAAATAACAGAAAGATGCACAATAGATATAAAATAGACCCTAATAAATAAATAAACAAAAAAAAATTTTGTTTTGAATTTCGATCAAATCTATTTGCTATCCTTGGAGTTAGTGAGACAAATTTTGAATATGCTGATTAGAAAATTTTACAAAACCAGGCATTAAAATAGGTTTTCTCTGAATGAGCATAACCGAATTGAAATATTCCCATTTTACTTCCTCAAAAACCGTTAGAATAATCGAGGTCTAGAAAATATCCAATAGGTTAATCAAAAGACTGTCGGACCCTTTAATTTTATAGTTTTCACATTTTGAGTTATGGGTTTGGGACAAATTGCTCAAATGAAACTCTTTTTGAAGTAATTTATCAAGCTCGTGTGTCCAAATTTACTTCTTTCCAAAGAATAGTTCAATTTAGCTTTATTATAATTAAAATACGTCAAGAATTTTATATATTTACGCAATTATGAAGGAATTTACGTTGCAAATATATTTATCTGAGCAATCTGATAAATATAAAAACGTTGTTTTGTAATGAAGGTAATACTTCAATAGTTTCGAAACTTGTTTTCAAAAACGCTCGAGATCGAGCGTACTTTTTAGAACAGTTAGAGTAATGGTAGGATAATTTAATTGGTTCGAGAGTCATACCTTAAATAAGCTAATTAATTAGAGCAGACGATTTTTTATGTAACGAAAACAGACGCAGAAACGTATTTTTTATTTGAAATATTTTTTTTCTCTCGAAGAATTAGAATTTTTGATCTTCAAAATACGATTTTTTTATATAAAATGAACATTAAGTGCCTGAATATTTCGCCAGCTCTTCTGGCTGAACCATTAAGACCATATTTTCCAAATGACAGATGACTCGGAAATACGGAAATAAATAACCAATACGAAACCGAGCTTAGGGATCAACTCCAGCCCTAGTAAATAATTAGTTCAGTTAGAGGTTTTTGTTTAGCCTTACTTGGATTAATAGTGATTAGTAGTTAACCGATGTCTCCTATATTTAGAAGGTCAAAAAGTAATATCTATAGAAAAAAAGAAGTATGTTTATTCACTTAAGAACGTTTTGTGTCTTATTTCCTAATTAAAACAATCGCCAGCATTAATTAATTACAATGTGTAGGATTAAACTTTCAAATCATTAAGAATACGTCTAAGTACGTGGAAAGTGTACGACTATATCAAAAAATATTCAGTTTTTTTTTTTGAATTGCGTGTAATTTCCAGTCCTAATATTGCCACACTCAAAACTTTCATTCTCGTACAAAATATAGAACTGTAAAAAAAAAATAAAGAAAGAAAATGTTTTATTGCCATCAGAAGATTTTAATAATTAACACTATACCATAACCGGCCAATTGATCGTTTAAGAACTTTGGCATCGAGAATGCGCTTATCATCTTATCGTTTTTGCACATTTGATTTCATGACTTTTCTAATAATTATATATAGTTAATAATCTATTATTATTTTTTTAAATNAATGCCATTACATATTTCTATTAATATAAAAAGTTTCAGAGCTTTTTATTCACTTTACTTTTTTGGGATTTTATGAACTGAAAAATGACAGTTTTCGTGAGAATGACCCATATATAGTTAATAATCTATTATTATTTTTTTAAATATTTTACTTGTCGTATGCCTATTTCTACTACAACCGGTCATTTGACTGGGAGAACACTTTTTTGCTTTATAAGGTTATCGGATCAGTAATGACGATGCAATGCGTGTTCAACATATTGCGCTCGATGAGTTGCACATTTCTGAAAAGACTGTTGCTTAGTGAGTTCAATCAGAATAACTGTGAATTCAAATTTCAAGAAAGTACCTCAAATTTAAGATTTACATTTTTGTGTCAGAAAAAGTGACAAAAACTAAATGTTTTGGTAAGTAGCTTATATTTTACTTTGATAGCTTTACTTCATTTCTAACTAACTGTTAGTTTTTACCCAGAAAAATGTCAAAACAATCAAGACAGCACAAGTTTTTCGAAGAAATAAAATTAATTATACGAATTATAATTCTTATATATTCTTACAATTATAAGAATAATAAAAATAATAATAATGAGAAGAAATATGTTTGCAGAAAATGTACAATGGAAACGCCCTGTATATGTAAAAAATGCGTTGAGTAATGAATTAAAAATTCTTATTCTTTGTGTTTGTAATACATTAAAATGGGCAATATACAATTTTGTTTAACCATAATAAAGTTTTTTTTTTTCAGTTTATTTCCTTCCTAACATCCATATTCCATACATTCAATCAAAAAACAATAATTCCAGTTATTTGACCGGTTTTGGTACAAATAGGTATAGATTAAGTGTCGGTATGTTTATTGTTAAATCATTTATTTCACACATCCACAACAGCAAAAAAAATGGCTACCTTAGATAACTACACTTTTACAGTTGCTCTATTAAATCTCCTTCTCTTAATATGCAATGAGACTAGAGATGGGAGATCTTTCATTAATACGTAAGCAATCAAAATCAGGTTTTGAAATCAAATCATACTACAACTCAAGGTTAAGAGAGCAAAGCTCTAAATAAGCCTTCAGTTAATCATATGTAACTTTTTCTCTCCATGTCTTTCATTGAAATAAATCTCTTCTTACTTTTGCTACAACGGGATTTCGATTGATGATAAGATTAGAATAAGATGGTCACTGTTTTAAAATAGCCAATGGCCATTTTTCTTCCGATGGATAGTAAAAAAAAAATGGTGACTATTTATGAGGAAATTCTTAGAACAGTTTGACATCATTTGTCTGGATTCGGGCAAATCTAAGAGCAATTCACGGAACTAGACTAGAGAGCAGAGATCTAAATTAGCCTTCAGCTAATTGTTAATCATACGTAACTTTTTCTCTCCCTGTCTTTCACTGAAGTAAAGTTTCTCTTTTTACTTTTGCTGCAACAGGATTTCAATTGATGATAAGAGTGGAATAAGATGGTCACTGTTTTAAAATAGCCAATGGCCAATTTTCTTCCGAAGGATCGTAAAAAAAATACTGACTATTCACTTTGACATGATTTAGATTTGGGCAAATCTACGAGAAACTAACTGAAGTAGACTAGAGAGCAAAGATCTGAATAAGCCTTCAGTTAATTGGTAATCATCTTTGTATTTGCCTTATAACAATATGTCTCT